GCAGGGCGTCTGAGCAGGGTCTGCGGCGGGGTCTCGGTGGCCCGAGGGTGGGGACATGAGCCCTTGGGTGCCCTCTGAGTAGCCCTAGTTTATCTCCTCCAGACAGTTCCTTCCGCTGACTCTGCCTTCTGGCTACTGCTTATCTCCCTGATAAATGGCCCCAGTCCTGACAGAGGAAGAGCTGTCAGCATCCTTCAGGGCCCTCCCTGCTGGCAGGGCACCGCTGGGTGAGGACTTGTGCCTCCTCACGTCAGCACAGCGGCGGCTGAAGATTCCAGGCCACTGACCCAAGAGTCTTGCCAGGTAGGGATGGCAGCGCCCGCCCCAGGGAGGCTGGCTGTCTCACTGGCAGTCATCCTCCTGATGAAGGCCCTTGGGGACTCTGGTCTGAAGCAGGAGACAAGGCCTGTCTGGGGAACCTGAGGGGAAGGCAAGGCCTTGTTCTCATAGATCCCGCATCGTTTTTCTCCCAGAGCCCCCCATCCCCTGCGCACCCCCCACCCGGACACACTGAACCTTGACCTTGTAGCAGGGAGGGGCTGCTTTGAGCTGTGATGGGCACATGACCCTTATGTGACCCTTGGCAGAAGCTGGTTGGGGGCTAGATTTCATGTACAGGCTGCAGAATGGCGTCCTGTGGAAGGGGTAGGCGTAAGCAGAGGAGCTGACGAGCCTGTCTCTGTGGGGTCCTTTGGCCCATCCCCGCTCTAACAGCAGCTTGAAGGCTGACCCTAAAGAGCAAAGGCACTGGCCCAGGCCCCCGGCAGAAGGAGTCTCTCGGCCCCCTGACTGCCTGGGCCTTTCAGGGCCTTCAAGACAAGGTCAGTCTGTGCCTCTGTGGAGAGCAGCTATGCTCAGAGGTCACACATCCCCCAGGAGGAAATGTCTCCCCTTTTCTTTAGTCAGAGGCTGAGGCTCAGGTCCGTTGATCCTGCTTTTCCTCCTGGTTTCAGCCTGACGCCGATACGGGCAAAGGCAGTCTGTCCACAGCCAATTCCTTAGTGCTCGGCCAACCCCTGGCACGCAGTTGGCGCTGAAGAAGTAGCTGTTGATGAATGAATCTTGGCTCCACGTGAATCTTTGATACCCTAGGTTTTTTTATCCAAATATGTTTCATTGAAAAAATTTTCTGCGTTTATTTAGTGCTGAGGTGGTTCCCAACACATGGCCAGTGTCACCAGTTGCCATTAACTTCAGGGCTCCCCTGACACTGGGGTAGGCTCGGGTTGGTTACATTTTAGGATCCAGTGTAACCATCTTTGAAAGACCCTGGGCATGTGGGTATGAACATGCATTTTCAATCTTACTAGGTGTACGAGCCTGAATTTAAATTTCTACTAACAGAAACACTGTGGTTTTTACGTAAGTTTGCTCATCACAGTGCATATATTGATTGCACACCTGCTCTGGGCTCATCTGGAGGGGAGACAATGGGACACAGCAGCAACCAAGAGAACCAGCCCGATCTCCACTCTCCGTAGTGGGGGCAGAGGTCAATCAAATAAGCACACAATTAACCATCTAATGACAGGTTCATCAGTGCTCTGAGGAGCAGTATGAGGGGATTCAGGGACAGGTACCAGGGGGCCATCGTAGTCTGGAGGCTGGGAACTGCTGACCCTGAAGAGTGGGGAGGAGTTAGCAAGTGAAAAGGAAGAGGTCACTTTCCAGGCAGAGAGAACCACCTGGGCACAGGCCAGGTGGCCAGGGCGGCCATGACAGCCTGAGAGCGTTCCATGCAGTTCAGCGGAGGAAGTGAGCCGAGGTCCAGGGAGAGGCTGGAGGGTCAGGGGCCCCAGCAATGGGGAGCCATGCAGGTCAGGCAGCAGGAGCAGGAGGCAGAGGTGGCTTCCAGGGGTCCCTCTCTAGCTGCTGGGTGGGAGGTGGACTATGTGGGATTTTGCTTCCAAAGTCTGGAGATGATTTTGCTGAGATGCAGGGATTTTTTTGTTCTCTGTTGTCACCCCCAGGCCTGTCCAGACGGCAGGCTCCTGAGGGCAGGGGTCAGGTCTGTGTCTAATTCATTTCTGAGGGCCCAGTGACCATCACCAGGCCAGACACACTGCAGGGGCTGAACAGAAGCCTGCTGAGTGAGGCAGTGCGCCGATCTGGTGCCCCACCTGTCTGTCCATCGGTGCCCATGGAACTGTCTGTCAGGCCCTGCCCACTGGCTCCTGTCTTCGGTCAAGCTGAGCCATGCAGGACATGCTGGACAACAGGCCAGGCATCTAGGAAGCAGACATGTGCTTCTCCTCACACCCCCATGCTGGCCGCTGGCTGGGGAATGTCTGGCCTGGGAGCCCTCTCAGCCCTTAGGCACAGAATTGCAAGTCCCATCCACCTGGGACAGGTCAGATTCAGTGCCATGCAGCTGGCAGAAGCCCAGAGCCCTGCGCACAGTCCACCCTGGCCTCAGCCTCACCTCAGGCAAAGGAGGTGAGGATAAGAGGTCGAGGGCAGGGTAGAGGTTATGATGCAGAGAACACTGGATGGGAGTTGGAGGGGAGCAGCGCCTTCTCCTTCTCAGGAACAACTGCCCAACAGCTGCAGCTGAGCAAATGCACCACAGACAGTCGGGGAGCAGTGAGCTCTCCGTCCTAGGAGGTGTGCAAGCAAGACCAGGAGCCTCAGGAACTTCCAGGTCCTCTCCCCCACTCCACTGTAAGAATCCCCCAGTGCTGTATTGGGCCCTAAAAGCCACCCCTTCGTGCTCCTGGGGCTGTGCTGTTCCGCCCCCCTCCCTTTGCTGCTTCTGTGACACAGAGTGGGCGAGCTCAGGGAGGTGTTTTCCTTTCATTCTCTGCACCCAGCACCACACGTTAATTGCATTTATTCTTAACATCTATAATAATTTTCTTCTAAAACAAAAACACGGAAAGTCCCAAACCAATTAGCAAACACCTAGGAAGGCACCTTAATTTCAGGATACAAAGAAACAGTCATGCACCCATGTTTCCCTTTGAATAAAATGGAGTATTTCTCCAAAGGCCCGAGCCCATGTGGAAGTAGGACCCCCTTCCCTGACCCCTACACCCCTTTTTACTAACCAGGAGCCCTGGGGTGGGGCTATGGGCCCAGCTCTGCTCCTGCACACACATCCTGTCCTCCTCCACTGCCCTGCTCACAGCGCTCCTCCTCTTTTGTACTCCAGATGAAATCCAACCCCCTCAACATGGCTGACAAGGCTTTCCGGATCTGAAGCACCTCCACTTGGCGCCCAGCCCCTCACTCTCTGCTCCTGGCCTTTGCACCTGATGGTCTTTACTCCTGGAACTATCTTTCCTTCTCTCCCCTGGCTAAGAGTACGTTCATCTTTTGGGACTCAGTTTATATACCCCTTCCTCCAGGAAGCTCTCCCTGACCTCATCAAGGGTTCCCACAGCCAGTTGTGTACCCCCTGCTACAAGCCTGCTCACTGTGTCCTGTACCTGCCTGGTCATGTGTCTGTCACCTCCATTGCTACTCAGTGTCTCAGGGCCAGCACAATGCCTGGCACAGAAAATAAGCCCAGAAAGTGTTTGTTGAATAAATGAATAACACCCCACCCCCACCCCCAAATGCCCTCAGAACTCTGGGTTGGCCTTGACTAGACATCCTGGTTCCAAGCTCATTGTAAAACCCCAGGAGGGCATATCCTTGAGCCTGGACGCTGGTCTGGAGCCTGGGACCTGGAGATCCCTGCACCCCAGGGTGGGAGAGTGTGCTCAAAATTCTTTTCTAACGTGGCCCTGTTATTTGAGGATGGACCAGACGAGAGCCCTCCATGAGCAGGAAACAAGAAGGAGAGCTGGGCCACTGCTCTCCCACCCAGTCCCCGACTTGGAGGACATGCAGTCTGTAATTTGGAAGGCTAATTTGGTCTGGGGTTAGGAGGGCGCTCTCTGTGTGTTGAATGCTGCCACACTCTCTCGGGGGAGGAAGTATCCTCTTTCTGCGGACCTAGGGCCTCTGCTCTCAGGCACAGGCCACACTGCCCCAGTATAACCTCCTGAGGCCTAGGCTGAAATCCCTAGAGAATTGGGTAGCGAGGGAGGGATCAACCTGGGGCCCAGCCTCCTGGGCCACTGACTGCCCAGGGTCAGTAGGCCCCAGATATCAAAAAGAACCAGTGGAGGGTCCCCAAGAACCAGGGCCACATAGCAGACAGTTCCCTGGGCTGCCCCAGCCAGCAAGATGCTCAGGAGAAACACGGGGAAATGGGCTTTGTAATGAGCTCCCCAGCACCCAACCCCCCAGACTTCTGCTGCTTCCTGTGCCCAGCCAGTTACTTACCGTCCCACCCAGGATGACAGGCCACCGTGCTCTTTCCGCCCTTTGAACACCTTTCACCTCCTCCCTGTGAAGCCCTCTGTGACCACTGCTTGGTTCCCATATCCTTGTACTTCCCGTTTTGTGGCACTCGACATTCCACCCGACAGGGGCCTGGTTGCCACCCCCATCGGGATATGGGCTCAGTGAGAGTGGGACCTGGTCATGGCCACCTTGGTGGCCCAGTACCTTGTCCAGGGTCTGCCTCAGCATAGTTGGTGTGACAGGACAGTCAGAGGGGCTGCTGCCCTTGCAGCTGTGCGGCCTTGGGCCAGGCACGGCACTTCTCTGAGCCTCAGTTTGCTTGTCTGTGGGCCAGGCGCACAGGCGTACTTCAGTATTTGGTGAACAAGTGAATGAATGAATGAATGAATGAATTGGAAGTTGGACTAGATGAGCTCCAAATCCCTGGCAGCTCACAGCCCCTCCCGTGTGTCCCTCCGCATCCAAGCTGCAAAGCTGGTCTGCTAAGGAACCTGTCAGCAGGGACTGGCCTGGGCCTCGGGGTGCAGGGAAGCTGAGAAGCTGGGACCGTGACAAGGTGACAGATGACAGAGGCTCAGGGAGGGCGTAAAGGCTACAGGGTGACAGGTAAAGTCCCCATCTCTGAACATGCTTGGTGTTTGAGGACCGCAGCCTGCCTGGGGACCACACCCCACCCCCAACTTGCCCCCACCCCAGCAGCTTCTCCCCAAACTTCTGCTCGGCTCTAACCGTCTGTCACTGGGCCTGGTGATTCACACGCTCCGTGATTCTTTCCTCTTCCAACTAATTATAGCTCCTGCGTGTTTTTCCCCCTGGAAAAATGTCTTCTTAAAAAGCATATCCCCAAGCCAGCAGTAATTAATTTGGTGAGCTCCACAGTGTGCAGTTCAGGCTGACTCTGAGGACAGGGAGGTCCCAGGTGTAGGGGGATGATCTTTTGTCCAACAGAGGAAGGAACGGGTATGGGATGCAGGGTGGACATGGGACACTTCAAGCAACAGAGGCTCAGCCCATCCTGCACCCCACCCATCAAGGCTCTGGGGACCCGGGGGAATAATAGTCACAGTAACAGTAACGGGGACTCTGTCGAGCGCCACTACGTGCTAGGCACAGTGCCAAGTGCCCAGCCAGTGCACGGACACTTCATCCTGACATCTGCCAGAGCAGTCCCTATTGGCCCCACTCTGTAGAAGAGGAAACTGAAGTTCAGAACTTGCCAGAAGCTCAGGGTCACGCAGCTACCAGCCCTCCGTGGTGGGGTGAAACATGAAGACCATGCTGTTGGGGGTTGGGAACTGGTGCAGGGACCATGGCCAGAGGCCTAAGCCAAGGGAGGGCCCAGGGCCATTAGACCTTCCAAGGGGCAGGCAAGCACATGACCCGCCCTCTCTTGACTTCTGGGAATCACAGCAGTTCCCCTGGAACTGGGCCAGAGCTGAGACCACAAGTGTTGTCTGAGTGCTTCATGGGGCCCAGCAAGCGGACATTGGAGCAGATGTCCGATCAGGCATCCTGGCCTGGTGGGGAGAGCAGACACTGCCAGGACAGGGTCCCAGAGCAACAGGGCCCGAGAGGCTGAGGTTCCTAAGGCTGGACCAGACAGAGGTAGAGAGGGGCAGAGATGGAGACTAAAACCGAGAAGCAGGTCTGAGTCAGAGAAAAAAGGACAAAGACAAATCCAGGGAGAAGTGGCAGAGACACAGGGTAGGGGACTGAGCAAAGAGGGGGCAGCCAAAGCCCCAGACTGAGCAGCAGGGACAGCTGAGATGGGAGAAGCCCCCAGACCTGGTGTGGCAGAGGGCCTGGTTCAGCCAGAACCAGAGGACTGGGGTCTAGGAGAGAGCCGGGAGAAGAAAGTGGGAGAAGAGAGATGGAGGCCCAAAGCCTTCATAAAGTCAGGCTCTGCTGGCAGGGCCTCCAAGGAGCTAGGGCAGCGTGGGCACTCCAGGCCTCCTGTGGGAGGTGGGAACATGGTGCCTCCTCATCTGTATCAACCCAGGAAGACTGCCTGGGGAGGTGTCCCCAGAGTGGGTGAGCAAGTAGGCCTTAGGAGAGCTAGGGTGCATGGGTCGAGTGGGCAGGTGGGGCCCATCCGGAGAGAGGCTCCCCTAGAACCGGGTCTCTGAGGCTAGCCTGCCCCCTCCTCCCCTGTCTTCATCAGCGGAGAGGCAAAGTTCCTCCCCAGGGCTGAGGAAAATCTGGCCGGGGCTAAACCATCTCCTTTCCTGGATGAGGACGTGAAGCCCTGGGACTGTTGGTGGTGTCAGCCTGAGGCCACAGGGCTCTTGCCTGCGCCTGCAGACCTGACTGCCTCTCGGCTGAGTGGTGATGAGGGAGGGGCAGGTCCAGAGCTCCCTCAAGTCCAAGATATTGGGCAGCCTTCTCTCTTGACAGGCTGGGACAACACCCCACACCCCATTCCCCATCGGCCATTAGGAAATATACCCCCTTTACCAACCCCTAAGGCCAAGGGTCTGTCCCCCTCCTCGGGTTTCTTGGGCAGGTCTCTCAGCCTAGGACAAGACTGTGCTTCCTTTCCCAGACCCTCAGGACAGGGCCTGTCTCTCCCCTCAGACCCTCCAGGCCAGGCAGGACCTAGCCCCAGCCCCCTGGCCCTGCTCTGCCTTGGCAGGCCAGGAGGTGTTGACAGCCTCGCTAACCATGGGCAGACAGCCCCCGGTTCCAGCCGTCACCTCCCCCAACTCCTCTGGACACCTGACACGGCCGCCGCCTGCCCTGGGTCAGGGCCCAGTGCCCAGGACCTGTAAGCCAGGCAGCTGTCGGGATTTCCGGCACGGGGGGCCCCTGGGGCTGACACTCTCGGCCACTTTCTCGTCTGGACTCTCCCAGCCAAGTCTGCACTCTTCTGGGGTCTGTGTCTGGGTCCTGGAGCATCTGTCATGGGAAAGGAGGGAATGTAGCAGGGAGCAGGTGGCCTCGCGTGGCTTTGAGCCCAGAAGACCAGCACAGACCCCCAGGATGTGCCCTTGGGCCCCGGAACAGGGGAAGGAGTGACTGCCGATCCCTGGGATGGGCGTTCACCTGTGCTGGAGGAAGGTGCCTGTGCAGCTCCTCACTCGTGGTCCAGCCGCCAAGACGTTTTGAGTGAAACATCTGTTTCGTGGATTCCCAAAACAAACCAAGACACCTCCCTTTGTAATGATATAACAGGATGCGGGCTCTGGTGGACGACCGAGCCTTCGTTTCTTCATCTATAAAATGAGCTGCCAGGAATTCCCACCTCAGAGGCTGCTGAGGCGTGTGTGGCCGTGCTTTAGGCAGCCCCGCTCCCACCAGGGGCTCCGAGCTTCCCCCTGGCGCCCCCTTTCCCCATCCTGGCAAGAGGAGACGGGCAGCCCTCAGCCTCCACCCCCAGCCTTAGTGTAGCCTAGAGCAGACCAAGCTGCGTGAAGGAGACGGCCTGGGTGGGGGCAAGGAGCCAGGGGACCTAGGCGGTGGTCCCCTCCTGGGTGGGACCACCGGCAAGCCCTCCTCCTGGGGTCTCTGAGCAATGGGAATTGAACTGGCCAAGTGCCTTCCTGCTCTGACCCGGGATCCCCAGGCCACCCCCAGGGCTCAGCGACCCTCTGATCCTCACCCTGGTCCTGCCCCCTTCCTGGCCAGCCTGGCCTTTGGCCGCAGCTCCTCCGACAAGCAGAGAAGGAGAAGGCCTGGCCCACCCCACCTCGGATCGTTTTTTAGCCCCTGAGGAACTTGGCGTCCTCCCAGCAAGGGTGCGTGGGTCGTGGCTGAGTATTAATAGCTCAGCTGGAGGAGGTGAACAGGACTTTCACAGCCAAACCCTGGAGGCTTCGTGTCCTGGGCGGGCAGGGCAGCCCTGTTGTCCACACGTCCTCTGCTGGCTGTCCACCATTCCCGTCCTCCAGGGGCTCTCACAACCCTCCAGCCCCAACCCGCCTCGCACGCGCCTGCTTCTTCGCTTGGTTGAAGCTGCCTGTGTCCCCTGGAGGAGGGGGAGACTTCTGGGGTCAGGGCCGCAGTGGTGGGTGAGTGGCCTGAGGCTGGTCTGTGACCAGGCCCCGTGGGAGATGAGAACAGAGAGGCCTGTGATAAGGCTTCCTCCTTGGCACCCTTCTCCTCTGCCCTGGCCTCTCATTCCTGCTGGCCTGCTCCACCCCCAGCTCCCCCACTGGCTGCTCTGTGGGCTTGTCCCCAAATATCTGTCCACGCTGGGTCCAGAAAGGAGAAGAGGCGGGAAAACCCAGCTGGCAGAACACAGACCTTGGAAAGGTGCCCGGGACAAGGCTGCATACTGCTCAGGTGGGGCCGCTGGGTCTGACCGGGCTGCACAGCCACCTCTCAGGGGCAGCTTGGGAAGTGGCGGGGCCCTGGGCAGTGACTGGGGACCTAGAGCCTTGGTGCTGTTCTGCCCCTGACCCCCACACCCTGCCATGCCACAGAGGCAGCGAAGGGACACGATTCCTCACCAGGCACCTCACACCCCTGCCTCGCCATCTGTCCTCCCTGTGTTTGCTCGTCTACCCGCATCCTGGGGTCCAAAGTCCTGAGAATAGAAACAGGGAGCCCTAAGGGAACATGACTGACACAGAGGCGGATGCCATGACGGTCCATGTTTCAGAGAAGAGCAACTGAGGCTCCCATCCTACGAGTGGCGAGCTGGGGCTGGAGGCTCTCGTGGCTTTGGACACCAGGTCGGCTCCCAGCCCTTTTCATAGTCATGTTCGGTCCCTGGAAGCCCCGTCTCGCTTATCATAGGCACCCCTTTGTCACCAGTCCTGCCCCAGCTCATTTCTAGGAAATAGGAAGGCTGCCCTCTGCCCTCTGCCCTCTGACCCTACCTCATGCTGAGTCCTGACCTTGACCCCCAAACTGAGCTTGGGTCTCCATTCTTATCAGGTTCTGAGCCACGGGCCCTGCCCTCAGACCCCTGACTCCAAGCCAAGTCCGGACCTCTGACCACTGGACAAGGCTGAAACCTCACCCTCTGCTCTCTGACCTCAGCTCCAGCTTCAGGCTCAAGCCTTAGGCCCAGGTTGGATCCAGGCCACCAAACGCTGACTCGCACTCCAGGCTGAGCCCCCAAGCCAGCCCCAGGCCCCCAAACTTCCCTGCCTGAGCCTCCGTCCTGGGCTCACCCCGGCTTCCAGCTCCCAGTTTGTCATCCCGGAGGAGGTACCGCATGCTCCTCACACTCACCCAGCCACCCCCACCCTGAATTCTGAAGCAAGCTGACACAAGGAACACATCACACCAGGCGATTTATGACTTGGACGAGCAGAGGCTGGAAGCATATGCTATTTCTGGGCTGGATCTTGTTGGTTTGGGGCATGGGGGAAGGTCCACAGCAGAGGGAAGGGAAACAGGAGACAGACCCTCCTGCACACAGATGCACGTGGTGGGGTGCAGGGGCCCCGGGTAACCTGGGACCACATTCCCCTGGGGCAGGCAGGCAGGCAGGCACACCCACACACCCCAACTTGGAGGAGACAAATTATGATTAATGTGACACTCCCCCCAACTCCTGTACCTTGTTTTCTCTCTAGCTTTGGAACCCGTATTCCTGGTGGCTCAGAGTGGACACTGGGTCTGAGTCTCGGCTCTGCTCCTGCACGCTTTGAGACCCGGGGCACGCTGCTCAGCCTCAGCCTCCAATCATCTTGGGGTTTCATGAGGACAAAAGGCAATCGTGGAGGCAGAGTCCCTGTGCATGCCTGGTACCCAGCGAGACTCACGAAGGAGCTACTAGTATTTTATCAGAGATCGAAGTCTAGCTATTCTAGCTGGAGGGTCAGAGGCCGCCCCCTTCCGCTCCCACAGGAGGGCTCCGGGGGACACAGTTTGGAAACCCTTGACCTAGATTCTAGGCTGGCAATAGGACCAAAAGCAGCATTAGCTGACGATTACAGGGGCCGGAACAGCGTGCGATTTGTCAGCATGGAATTAGGTCACAGAATTCTTGAAACAGAGAAGCCCCAGAAGCCAAAAAAAACCGCAATGTATGAAGGCACAGCTCTCCCCCCAACTTCCTGGGCCAAGAGTGGTGTGGGCTGACCAAGAAAGGATGGGTTCCTGCTCGGACAGCAGGCTGGGGGGCCGGCACTCGCCCATTGGCCTTCCCCTGGTTGTCTTGCAGCATCCCGGGAGGGGAGCCCTCCGGCTCCACAACGATCTCCAAAGCCCCCCATTTCCTGGGATTCCGTTTCCCCACCTCCACGAGGCTCAAGTGTCTGGAAGGTCCAGCTGCTCCTAGACACCCGTCCCCCACCTGACCACCTCTACTGACCCCTCCCAGGACCGCAGCCCAGCTGCTGAGATCCCTTGGGGTAAATCCCAGGGGACCATCCTGGCTGCCCTCAGCCTCCAAGGTCCCTACAGAGTGGGCTCTGGACACATTGGTGACCTCAGGCCCCAGCCCCTCTGGGCCTCCCTTTCCTAGCGGAGTTGGCACCATTGGAAGAAGGTGAGTACCTGTGTGCTGGGCACTGACTGTACACCAGGTGTTTAACCTTCATCATCTCCGATCCAGGAAGCAGAGGGTCAGACAGGGAGAGTGCCATGCCCAAGGCCACAGAGCTGGGAAGTGGCAGGCGAAGGGTTTGACCTAAAGCGGCTGTCCCAAGGGGAGAGGCAAGAAGAGATGTCCCACGTGTGGGGCGGGCCACCCCTCAGTGGGCAGCAGCAGAGACCGACAGCCAGCACATCCCCAGCCCGATAGAGGGGGGCGGCCCAGCCTCCACCATGGCTGGCTGAGCCCCGCCCCAGTGCCAGCCCCACACGAGCTTTCTAGGTGGCTAATAAGGACCTGGGCACCACTCAGTAATTGGCCTCATTAGGTGGCTGGGGATGCCCAGGGGATGAGGTGGCGGATGCTAGACCCCGTGGGGACAGGCCAGACAGCCTCCTGTTAATTACCTGAAAACTCAGACAATTAGTCCTCCTGCCACCCGCCTGCCCACATCCTGCCGGCCCCTAATTACCCACGGCTGCTGAGCAGGCCAGGAGTGACCTGGATCTGGATGGAGGACCAGCCAGGGCCATCTCCCCATCCCCCACCCTGCATTCATCACAGGCTGGGGACACAGGGCTGGGGTGGGGATGTCTCTCAGGGATCCTCTCCTGAAGCCCCGCTACCCAGGCTTAGACACTTTCCATCCACTGTCCTTCCTGCCAGAGGGCAGCACCGTCAGAGAAGAGCTGGATGCCAGGAGCTCTAGAAGCTCTCAGGGAAGATGGGCGGGATGCTGGGGGAGAGGCAGAGACTCAGAAAGGGGGTCCAAGAGGCGTGGGGGGTGATGAAGTGGCTGACCTCCCCCTTCTTCCTGGCTCCTCCAGGGAAACAAAAACTGGGCCATATTCAGGAGTAGAAATGGCAGAGAAGAGGAAGCTGAGGGCTCTACCATGGGCCCTGGCCAGCCCAGAGAATGCTGGGGGGCTCAGGCGTGGCCCTGGGGAGTCCCCTCACTCCGAAGGGGAGATGGACCTAGACAAAGCATGCCCTGGGTACAGCCTGTGGTGTTGGGGGAGAGGCAAAGAGAAAGGCCTGGCCTGGCTGGGGTAGTCCTGGAAGGCCTCCCAGAGGCGGTGACGTTTAGGCTGAGGCAGGTGGGGGCACACTGTTCCAGGCAGAGGGAACAGCATGTGTGAGGGTCTGGGGTGGATGCTCCTCTTCTGAAAGCAGAGACAGAGATGCAGGGCACTCCCTCAGCAAGCCCTTACCATGTGCCAGCCAATCGGGGGAGGCAGCTAGACCAGCTGTGCCCCAGGAGAGGTGAGCAGGGGAGCTGGGTTGGACACAGCGGGGTCGGGTGAGGCAGATGCACTGTCCCTCTGCCTGAAAGTGCTGGCAGCCGCCGCCTCTGCAGACAAGGCCTAAAGGAGAAAGTCTGATCTGGGGGTGTGGGCCTCCTCCCACAAATGTCCTTAGTCGCACTAAGCCGGCTGGCATAAAGTACCTGGGCGTCCCTCCCTGACCTATTTCCTTTCCTGGTTTCTGCGCCGAGATTGAAAGTCTCTTCTCTCATCTCCCTGGGGGCTTGGGAAAGGCCCACTACTCAGGGGGACACTCCCGGTCCTGAGAGATTAAGAGGCTGAGCTGAGGTCACCCAGCCAGCTGGCGGGAGTGGGCCTCAGAGAGCTGGGGGTCCCGGCCCAGCTAGCCATAGAGCCACTGCAGCACTGTGCTCCTCCAGCAGGTGACATGCTGGGTGCCCCACCCTTGGGAGACAGCATGGGGATGGCCCTCAGGCTCTCACAGGTCACAGGTCTGGTCACAGACGGGCCACTGGCCTGGGATTCTAGGCCTGGGGACTCTAGGTGTGGGCTTTGCCACCTTCACCTCAGCCTTGGACCCAGGTCTCCTGACTCCCTGAGCAGTGCTCCTTCTCCCACACCCAATTCAGAGTCTTGTGGGAAGCCATCTTTTGAGCCAGGGAAATGGGGGTGCACTTGCTCTGCAGGGGATACCTGGAAGCAAACCTGGTTCCCTAGACAGCCTTCCCCCGAGCCTCAGTTTTTCTATCTACCCCATGAGGCTACAGTGGGAAGACTGGAGAAGTGGCCTGGAAGGCTTTATGAGCTGCCTTTACTGTGAGCGCTGGACTCGGACACTCAGGGTGGCTGGAGGTCAGAAGCACAGTCTGCGGGGCAGAGCAGCTGGACCCCCTTCTATCTGCCCCTTTCCACTCGTCTGGGCTTGCTGACAATGACCGCGTAACTGCCTCTTGCTCCATAACCCTAATTGCCACGGCTAACCAGGTGTTTTCTGCTAAACACATTCATTGGCTGTGTGGTATGTGGCGCTTCCTGACCTGGGAGACCGTGACATAAGCTGGGCCTATGGGGACTGTGCCCATGACCCACAGGGTCCACGCAGCATTTCGTCCAGCGGACTGCAGGCTCCCCTGTGATCAGGGGCCACAGGGTCACAGCAAGGCCTGCACCTTGAGGATAGGACTGGAAACTGGTCCCCTCTTGTGGGAGGGGCTAAGTGCCCGTAACCCCACCCTGTAGCTCCAAGAGTCATGATGACCATGTGCACCTTACTTGACAGTCTGCAAAGCATAACAATGTAGCATCTCCCAGGTGGTGATGGTGGTGGGCTTCCTGTATGCCAGGGCCTGTGCAGGGTGGTCTTCAGTGTTAGTTCTCCCCATCTTGACTACAGCCCTGGGAGGAGGAGCTGTCATTATATCGATGAGGGTGTCAAGACTCAGAGAGGCCGTTCGTTGCCTGAGATCACACATCCTTACGTGGAGGTACCAGGCCTTGAACTGGGCTCAGCCTAACCCTCGAGCAGGTGCTTCTCGGTGCTGTCAAGACTGTGGGAGTCATGGCTATTTCTAACTGATGGGCTGGGGGCTCAGGTGGGGATAAGAGTGTACCTAAGAGGGCCGTGCTGTGCAGAGGGTATGGCAGGCATGGGCCTCGAGCTGGGGAGCAGGAATCGAAGTCACAGCAGGAGCAGCATCCTGGCTGGTCTTGGCCCTTCGCCCTCCCTACCCCTTGGCCAGGGCCAAGAGCTCCAGGTTCCCCTAGGGCTCAGAGCCAACAACGGACAGTGACCCTTAGAGGGCTGGCTGCAGAGACTCACAATTGTGTCGCAGTGCTCTCGTCTTGTTCCTGCTGCCAAGAATCATCAAGCCACGAGCCTCCCCCCCCATAATCTTTCCCAATCACTCATGTCCCATGGTGGTAGCACTACGGGCCCTGGACTGAAACCTCTGTCCGTCTTCCCCAATGGATGGGAGCTCCAGGAAGGCAGCAACTGTTCTCTTTCACAGTGAGGCAGCTGAAACAAAAGAGGCACTCAATGAAGATTTGTTAAATGAATGGATGGTTGGATGGAGGGGCAGCTAGATAAATGAATGGGAGATGGCTGGGTGGACTGTTGCATGATGGGTTGGATGGTTAGATGGTGTATTTGTTTCCTACTGCTGCTGTAACAAATTACCACAAACTCAGTGGCTTAAAACAACACAAGTGCTTACAGTTCCAGAGGTCAGAAATCTGAAACGGGTCTCACTAGGCTCAAATCAAGGTGTTAACAGGGCTGTGTTCCCTCTGGAGGCTGCAGGGGACACACGTCCTCACATTTCTGGCTTCTCGAGGCTGCCCACCTTCCTTGTCTTCCTTTATCCTCAGAGCCAGCAATGTCAGGATGCAGCCTTCTCATTCTTTCTTCTGATTCCCTCTTCCATTCTTTTTTTTTATTTTATTTTTTAATTTTTTTATTGGGGAGTTGGAGCATGGGAACAGTGCTGGGGAATTGGGGGAAGGGGAACAGACAAGTTTCTGTCCTTTTGTTCTTCAGTCTAGTTGTGGAAGATGTTGCTTCACTGCCCAAGTTGGCACCGTCATTGCGCTCTTCCCAGGTGAGGCAGATCAGTCGCCGGCTTCTGGACGGCCGCTCACAGAGGCTGCTGGCCGCTCACGCTGGCTGCTGGCCGCTCACGCTGGCTGCTGGCTACACACGGTAGCCCATGGCAACCCACTGCCACAGGGGCTGCAGCCTATGCCGACGCCAGTGACTCACTGGCAGCCCAGCTCCAGGTTGAGCTGTTGTTCAGCATCTTAGCTGTGGAGGGCAGTGTCACTGGCCCTCATATGTGGGAGCCGAACCGGGGCCCTCTGGTGTCCCAAGCCAGCTCTTAACCATCACACCACCACTTGGCCGGACCCCCTCTCCCATGCTTAAGAACCCTTGTGATTACATTAAGGCCACTCAAATAATCCAGGATAATCTCCTCAGAGGAATTGGTTCCCAGACTCTGCCTTCCCACCCCTTGGGAACACCAAATTCTGCAGAGGTGCAAGTCCCTCATATAAAATGGTGTAGAACAGTGCATGCAGTCAGCCGTTTGCATCCACAGATTTCCAACCACGGATCAAAAAGATTACTTTTGACCCGCAATTGATTGGCTCCACGGATGCGAAACCCACGGATAGGAGGACCGACTGTATATTTACTGGAAAAAATCTGTGTGTGAGTGGACCCATGCAATTCAAACCCGTGTTGCTCAAGGGCCAACTGTAGTTCTTTCGTGTACATATGAACACTTCAGACAATATTGTTTAGTTTTACTTGAGGTTGGGGATAAAAATGGCCTTGAACAGAAGGTAGCATCCTGCAATTTGTTTTCTTGACTCCACCTTACGGTTTAGGGTTCACCCATGCTGCTGTGGGGGCTGCAGTGGACTTCTCAATCCTGTTACTAGGTATTCATGTTGATGTCAGTTTCTCCTTAGGAACAGTGCTGCTAAAAACATCCCTAGGGGGTGGGGTTATCATTATTGTTACCATTTATCTTGTTCCCATCCAGGGGAGTTCACATTCCCTCTCTCCCCCACCTCCTGCACCCACAGGCACCTCTAAGGCATGCTGGTGCCCAGAATGAGGCTCCCCATGACCAGAGCCAACCATGGGGTGGAGGTATGGGTAGAGGCCCAGCTGCAGCAACTCCATACTGCTCATATTTGGATCAATACCAGTGCACCCCACCTTGAGTCACCCCCATAAGTACTGGTACCCTAGGCCCTCTGTTCAGAAGATGAAATGGAGAACAGACTCAATAGTCGGCTATCCTGAGTTCAAAGGTCCAGTCCATTACGGACAAGCTGTATGACCTTGGGTGAGTCACATCTCCTTCTGAGCCTCAGTTTCCTTATATGTGAAGTGGGGGTAACTTGAGGACCACCCTCACCAAACGTCGCAGAGCACTCGGTGACAGGCATGGGGAGCTGACCTTGTCCCTATTGCTGGTTTCTCTTCTGCTCCAGCTCCTACTCTCAATCCAGCCCTAAATGCTGTCAGGGGCTTTCAAGGGCATCCAACCCACCCCTTTTACAGATGAGGAAACTGAGGCACAAGCACGGAGGGCTGACCAGTTCGTCTCTCGCTGCCTCTGCGGGGCCTGTGTGTGTGAGGGATGGCCGTGTTGTTCCCTCTCTACCACATGACTCTGGACCTGCCCTTGAGGTATGAAGGTAAGGGTGGCAGCGATGTCACCATCTCGAGACCAGGGCCAACAGCCTACTGCGCTACCTGTCCCCAGCCTCCTGCCTGGGCACAGCAGTTACCTTCCACCCTCCCGTGACCACCCGGAGCCCCTACTCTCCCTGAGAGCCCCACTTTGGGCTGAGGACCCCAGAGCCTACCTGGCTTGGGCCTCCTGGACCCTGTTCTGAGGGCTGGTCACAGGATAAGCCGTCTCAGCCCTGCACCAAGGGGGTGACAGGGAACTGATGCTGCCTCTCCAGGCAGATGGAGGAGGTGGGGTTGGAAGAGGCCCCAACATGCCCAGGAGTTAAGTGCTTAATTCTGCAGGCACACCCAGTTTTCAGATGAGGAGTCGGGGCTCAGTGTCACAGGGCAGGGAAGGGAGAGGCTAGGAACAGGAGCCCAGATCTGAACCCCTGCCCCATGCCGCTTGCATTCAACAGTGCTGGGCTGGAGTGGGTGGAGGGGCTCCTGTCCTGAGTGTATGTGGGGGTCTCCTCCAAACACAATCTGTGCTGAAAGGAGCCCACTGCCACCACTGCAGCCATGCTGGTCCCCCTCCATGATGCAAGTCCGGGATCCGGGCCAGCCTTCACCCCAGATCTGCTCCAGAAGCACCATCCTTGGGGAGCAGTGGGTGAGAAAAGGTGAAGTCCCTTCTATGTCCTGCACCCCTCCCCCCACCCCCACCAACCCCGGCTTTTCTCCATCTCCTCCCAGGGAACACCCC